ACAACAACAAGAAGGAAAAATGAAGGCACCCAATTGGCATGGATGAGATTTGGAGAATAATTTCCCAAAAAGATCAGAGAGAGAACACCCATGTGAGGCTCTAAATTTGGCAAGATTGAACCGATCAAACCCTGAAGTACTCTTTCCCTCACAGATCCGAACATTAAATCCTATCTATTTATTGGAATATCTTCATCAAGTATCAAACTTTGCCCTTTTCTCTTTTCAAGTCCTCATATCCTAAGTATCATACCACAATAAAGTTTTTCTTTTAACTACTGAGTTCTTTTTTCAATAAGGAAACAATAAATAAAGCACATTACGAAAGAAAAAAATGAGAAACTTAGCCTCACAGGGACCAAAGGAGTTAGACGAAAAAATAATCCAACTAGAATTTTTTTTTTTGAACAAGATACGAAATTCTCATTGAAATAATGAAAATGAACAAAATTGTTCAAAGATACAAACTCACGAAAGAGTGAAAAAACTAAAACATAAAAGAAGTGTTACAGAAAGTAATAAAGAGATGCCACAAAAACACCCCAATTAGAATTAATCAAACTAGGAGAATAAGATTTAAAGAGAGGGGATAAGGAACTCCATTGAATCTAGCAATGTCGAATCGAGCTGAAGGAGACTGTCGCTTTTCTTCAAAAAATCTAAGATTCCTTTCATACAGCACCTCATATACCACTGCCTTCACTGCATTAAGCCATAACAAAGAGGCTTTAGGGTTCAAGGCTGGCCCTGATAGCAATTGGATCAAATTATCTGCCATGTTGCTACCAAAAACACAATCCAAATTAAATTCCTGAAACAAAGACAACCAACATTGCCTTGCAAAGGGACAGAAAAAGAAAAGTTGCACCATACATTCTTCGTTAGCCTAGCAAAGGGCACAGATCGAGGGCTTTAAAAAGAAGCTGGGAAGTTTCTTTTCAAGAACATCATCGGTATTAACTTTCCCATAAATGAGAATCCAAGAAAAGAAGCTGACCTTCTTTGGGCATTTAGTTTTCCAGATAGCTTTAAAAAGGAATTTGGGTAATGGAACACTGTTTGATAATTTACAGAGTGAATCCACAGTGAAGGATCCTGAATCATCCAGCGTCCAATACCTCCTATCCGGTTCTTTGGAAGGGGATTTAGATTGCAATAATGATAAAATCTCTCTGAGTTCCTCAAACTCATCATCTTTTAGGGACCGCCGAGTGTGCATTTTCCATGAACGGGTTTGACTGTCCCAAAAATCAGTCATTCATCCAGAAGGATGAAGAGAAAGATGATAGATTTTGGACCATTCATCGTGGGCACAAGATCTCGATACTACCAATAACTTCTTCCAATCCAAATCAACTACTTCCGATTCCCTTTGAAACCAGAATTTTGACGAAAGACTTTTGATAGAGGTCAGTTTATGATCAGCCTTACTAGACGGTAATAGTTTATTCACTGAGCCCCCAGCTACGTTGCTAGATGTGAGATTAACCTGAGGGGCCTTGCGAATTGATGGAGCACCTCTTTTCGTTTGACCACCTCCACAAATGACCTCTTTCTCATCTCTTGATTGGATGGAACCAAGATTTCTTCCACTTTCGAGTTTCTGAGATTTGAGACTTCCTGAAACTGTCTTTCTGCATTCCTAGCTGAAAAATTGTGAAGCATGGTCCAGAAATCTTTCCAGCCTGTTCTATCTGAGACAACCGAAACCAGAATAACCCGCCGTCTGCCGGAAAACAACCATACAGTCCACGTGATATACCACAATTGCTTGATTCTCATCTTTTGAATTTAACAAGTTCCATATGGAGAACGATCTTTAAAAGAATAATATGCTGAAACCGATTTCTGAACTACAACTGCCATATGATTTTTGAACCATAAAAACTGTGAAGGATGAAGTTGTAATGCTTCTTTCCTAATAACGTCTTCAAACCAGATATAATTATCTTCCGCCCAAGTACAAAAGTACTTACCATCAATACGACAACTGCTAACTTCCATGGCAACAAATCAAAATACCACTAACAAAACACTTCCACTGGAGAGGAGAAAGGAAGGGAAAGGTCGGCCCTAACAATTGTAGGGAGAGAGACAAGGAAAGCCGAGAGGTATGGTCAGAGAGACTCGCCGGAACGGGGCTCCGGGGAGAGAAAGGCTATAAGAAAAGGAGGGACAAAGAGAGCGGAAGGTTGTGATCGGAGACTCACCGGAAAGGAGAGTGAAAGCTAGGTGGTGAAGGGGGAATGTGGAGGAGAGAGGAGAGAGGGGAGAGCATTTTCGGTTTCTTATCTGGATGCCTAAACCAACTTATATTTATGAAAACAACAAAACATGAAACAACAACTAGAATTGATACAAAAGAAAATCCAAATTTCAAAAATTATAAAGAGAGCGAACAAAAAGAAGGCCAACAATCCCACTAGCCCCCAAAAATAAGTCTCTCTTGAAAAAATACTCTCTCACCACCCAAAACTCTTAAAAGGTAAAGCTACAGCCACACTAGTCCGTAAATTAAAGGCCTTCCTTCGAAACAATGAGCATGCAAGAATTATTCCCAGCAAACCTCAAGAGTTGTGGCAAACGCCAATCCAAATCAATTTTGCTGATGACTTTATTCCAAAAATTTCAACCCAAAGTGCACAACCAATACTTTTTTTTACCAGAAACAAACTTTTCATTGATAATATGAAAATGAAGGAAAATTTCTATGATAATATAAAGTGGACCTATATTGCCAAAAATTTCTTTCAAGAGGGAACTCCAATTTTCTGCATCCTCATCCATATGTTTGTCATTGATTTTGTATTTCGATTTAGCCAACAAATATTAACTCAAAAACAACAAACTAAGATGCCTTCTCTTGAACAAAGATCCTTCTAAAAAACGAGAGCAACCAAAAGATGAGTAAAAAATTAGTAAAAAATAAAATTTTGCTTGCCCATTGTAATCCCTTTTGGCTTGTGTCTCGGAAAATCTCTATCTTTCCCACTCTCCATTTACATGTTTGTTTCTTTATTATAAAGTTTCTTTTCGTACTATCATTCCCACTCCCTCTGACCGTTTTCTTTGTACAATGTTCCTTGCCTAAACGAGAGGTGGGAAGAATGAAAGAAGTGAAGGATAAGCATCATAAGTCAAAAGGAAGAGAACCTAGAAAATGAAGAATAATGTAGGGACAACATCAAAACACATGCTATAGTTTTGTTAGCACCCCGTATAGACAATGTAAAGGCAAGTAAGAAGTATTTTCCATAAAATAATTGGGAGAGTACAGTATTATAAATGAACAATAACTATCGTGTCATCATCTTAGCAACATGATGACTTCTTACCAGATTGGCTGGTCTTTGGCAAAAACCCCGTGAAGGAATTCAAACCAAAATGAAGAATGTAGCCATGATCTTCAATGCTTTTCACATATGATGTCAGAACCTGAAAGAGTATTCATTTATGCATACCAATGTCAAAACCATTCTCATTAACCGGTAAAAATGAGAGGAAAGATATGGCAGTTGCATGTTGGATATCATTAAAAGATGCCATAAGAACACAAAATCAATATAAGAAAGAAAATCAAGGAGGAGATCATACTGAAGAATGAACATGACAAACTTTAGGCAGTAGTTGATTTGTGAAGTCTTTAACATAACTTAGATGATTTTCTAAAGGAGTAAAAAAACAGATGTAGAACATATTGCATGAACTAATACTGCTAAAAATATTTTTTTAAGATAAGAAACCAGTAATATGAATACTGCTAAATATATTAATAAATATAAAGCAAGAAAAAGGATCAAAAATTAATGTATTTAAATTCATTTACCATTCCTTCTTGAAGAAGGTCCAATGAGAAGTCTTTGTACATAATAGATAAACGTAATGAAAGCCAGATCTTTCTCTTCCCTGATTCTTTGTTGTCATCATCCACTTTCAGCACAACACATGGAACCAGTTGCCCAACTTGGAACATGACAGAAAGTAAATCATGCTCCGGATCCTAGTAAGAAAGAAATTTGAATGACTGAGGATTCAGTACAACACCATAAAATACAATTAGTTTTATGCAACGTGACTCCTCGGGAAATGTGTGTAAATCCTACCTCGATTTCTTTTTCCGAAATTGGATCAAAAGCATCAGCAGCACACACTAATCCACGTAAGCCCCCAGGCAGACTAATAACAAGATCCTTTTTATTTACTTCAGCAACGACTCCCCAAAGTTTCATTCTTGGACTTATATTCTGGAAATAAATAATCAATAATTAACATTTAATGGACGCAAACAGAGTGGAAGAAAAAGTAGGAGCCACCATGTTCAAAGAAAATTTAACATAAGTAAATTAATGAAATTTTTCACACTAACATCTAAGAACAATAGGAAATGAGATTGCTCCTTCTTTCCAAGGACAAAAGCTCCCAAAAAAACAGCAGCAATCCAAAGAATTTTTTTTTACTGAAAACCGAGCTTTCTTTGAGAAAAATAAAATAATAAAACATGCTTAAAAAGGAACAGTCCAGCCAACCAACAACTAACCTAACAAGACAAAAGGGGCTCCAATCCCAAAGAATAAGGCCTAAAGGATATTTACAAAAATCCTTAGTTACATATGCTCATGGGAGACATTAAACCTGTCAAGGACCAAACCTCTACCCACACCTCTTGAACCCTCTAAAAGTTCTCATATTCCTCTCAAGCCATATACTCCATAAAATATCAATATTACCATGTCAAAGCACACAACTCTCACCATGAAAGGATGAGTGAAACACAATCTCCTCCATCACGAGACAACAATCTCAAGAAACAATTATACATTGAGAGAACAAACTATCATCTCCAAAGTATGTTACCTAAATTCTCAAACACTCCCTTAAAAAGGATGCACCACTACGGCTCCAACAAAAAAGAAGAATACCTCTATGTTAGACTTTCTCAGCAAAGAAAGTTTTTTATCTTTTGTTAGATAGGAAACAAATTTCATTGATACATGAAATTACAAAAAATAACAAATCCTATCCAATGAAGTTAGAAAAAACTTCTCCAATTGGATATGAGAAAGTTCAAGTTGTAGCTATCGAAAGGATGTACATATTTGCACCAAGATAAAGCCAAAAAATGGAGTCAATTAGGTGTTGTTTTTGAAATTCAATGTCTCTGAAGAGTCTGGAATTCCTTTCTTTCCATATAGTCCATATATATTCCGTTGATGTTCAGATGGGTGGTGAATAAAAATAGATTCCTAAATGGGTGATGAATAAAAATAGATTCCTAAATGGGTGATGGAGTCAATTAGGTTTTCCATTTTTCTCTCAATTCCTAACTTGTACAGTGGGGGATGGTCAGGATACTTATTTTTGGGAAGACACTTGGAAAGGGGAAAAGCCTCTATGCCTTTTGTTTCGTCGCATCTTTCATTTGTCAGACAAAAGGCTGCACTCAGTGGCCTCGATGTTGAGGAATGGGGGGGATGAGTTGTCTTTATCTCTGGGTCTCTCTCGGTCCTTAACTGATAGAGAGTCTGAGAAGTGTCTGAGTTGATTCTCTTGCTCTCTGCAGTTTCTCTCTTTTGTGATAGGAAGGACTTCCGTGCTTGGTCCACTAACCCTTCTAGGGGCTTCTCTTCTAGTTCCTTCTTTAAACTCTTATGTTCCCCTACTTCTCCCCCTACGGCCCCGGTGTTTACCGCGCTGTGGAAAATGAAGATCCCAAAGAAGATAAAAATTTAAGTGTGGTAGGTCTTACTTGGGAAGGTTAACACCATGGATCGTATTCAAAAGCATTCTTCTTCTTACTTGGGGCCGCAGTGGTGCATTCTTTGTAAGCGGGATTCCGAGGACCTTAACCAGATTTTATGGCAGTGCCAATTTTCCCAGAACATTTGGGGCCGGTTCTTTGAGATATTTGAAATTTCTTGGGCTCGTCATAGAGGGTGGGTGTCAATGGTGGAGGAAGTGTTGTTGTATTCTCCCTTCCGCGAGAAAGGGAGTTTCCTTTGGCGGGTGGGGTTCTTTGGGATTTTGTGGGGTATTTGGGGGGAAAGAAACAATAGAATCTTCAGGGGGGTGGAAAGAGAGTGGGAGCTTGTTTGGGACCTTGTAAGGTTTAATGTCTCTTTATGGGGGTCTGTTTCGAATTTATTCTATAATTATCAGCTAGGTCATATTCTTTTGGATTGGAAGCCCTTTCTCTAGGCTGGCTTCCTTTTTTGAAGCTGTGTTTTTGTATGCCCTTGTAATTCTATTTTGTTTTCATTCTTCTCAATGAAAAGTTCGGCTTCTTATCATAAAAAAAAATAGATTCCAGCCAAATACTTGATGTTGTTGGGAAAGGCCATCTACCAACCGAACATGGAGAGAAAGAATGACCAAATTCTAGAGGAAAATGTGCAAAACATGAAGGTGTGATCCTATGATTCCATGTTTGTTTTACAGAGACAACACCAGGAAGGAGAGATGGTCTAGCGAGGGCATCTTTTCTGCAACTTATCAAAAGTAATTAGACAAGTATGGCTGAGCTCCCAAATCAAAAACTTTACCTTCTTCAGGTATTTTAAACTCCAAATGGCTTTGTAGAGGTGAGAGCTGTGTGAGTTTTGGTCAAAATGATGGGTTAGGAATTTAACAGAGAAGATACCATCTTTTTCAAGCCTACAAACCCAATGGTCCCTTCTGTTTGTGGGGAAAAAGGATGATAAAAGGGACGATAAATAAGACATCAATTCCTGTATTTCATCATCATTGAGATTCCTTCAGAAGTGCATATTCCATGCCTTAGAGTTGTCATCCCATAAATCTGCAACAGAAGCTAGTTTTTCAGAGTCAAATGATACAACAGAGGGAAAGCATTCATTAGAGGGCTGGTACCAATCCAGAGATCTGTCCAGAAGATAGTAGACTGTCCATTTCCAACTTTATAAGAAAGAAAGTAAGGTAGACACATCTAATGTCAACCAATCAAAATGATGACGAAAACCAAAATCAAACGGTTATAAATTACCCAAACAAGAAACGATAGAAGTCACGGGCTACAACCTCAAAGATGAGAGGTGATACAAACGAGGGAACAAAATATAAAGGGAAGATCACTCATCCCGCAATCCTCGCAAAAATAAGTGTTCAAAGTAACCCAAAAAGATAGCTTTTTAAGGATTCCTCAAAGTTGATAAACTGACTAGCATAGACACACTTAAAAAGGGTAAGGACCATACCTACTAACTATGTTGTGCCACAGAGCGTGTGGCTCCAATAGGAACTACCACGGCCATGCATGAAGCAAGGCTTCCTTGCAAAGTCTCAGATAATCTATGCCCAGCCCCAAAGTCAATTATTAGCCTCAACACCACCTCCCTCATAATCAAATGGGAACTCCCTCCCTCCTCAATTCTCTCCAACATAAAGTCGTTCATAGTATTCTCCAAACTCTTATTAACGAAAGTAAGCATCTTAAACAAAGACAAAAAAATAAATTGAATCCCGCTCAATACATGCTAAATAAGACTTAAACTACCACCCTTAAGAAATAGGGCATTTTTCTAAGAAGCGAGATGCTTTTGGACCTTTGTACAAAACATGCTTAGGATTGTGATCAAGAGGAAGCCCTGGGTAGGATCTAAGAAAGTTACCCACATCACAACACAGGTGGGGAATGGGAGTTGTGAGGGGCAGCAAGCCAGCAAATGAGAAGAAATTTAGGTTTAGGGTTTTTAATATACATATACACGCTTAAATCACCCTTAGCCCTCTATATCCCTCACTTTCTCTCAATTTCGTAACACAAACAAGCTTCTGCAAAGGAATTCTGGAAGAAAAAACTACATCTAAATGATGTTAAATTGAAGAGTGAGTTGAACTTACATAACTCCTTTCATCCATCCATCTCAACCAATCTGAGGATTTTTGGGTTTTGAAGCTAGACAGCAAGGGTGATTTCTCAACCAAATATCTCCTTGATTTAAGCTCAGAAGGGAACAATATTCATCCTTTACTTGCAAAATATATTTGGGGATATGTCTACTCAAAAAGGATCAAATTCTTCATTTAGGAGTTTGCACACAAGACTACAAACATCCATGATTTATTGGAGCGCCATTCACCACACATGTCTATTTCTCCTCAATAGTGTGTTCTTTGTAAAAGGGATGCAGAGTCACAATGACATATCTTCCTATCCTATCCTCAATAGTATGTTCTTTGTAAAAGGGATGCAAAGCCACAGTCACATATCTTTGCGTTCTCATTTGCCTTAAGATTTTGGGATTAGGTACTATCTACATTCAATTGGGCAGTGGCTTTCCCTCTTAATTCAGGCAAGAAGAGATGAACAGAAACAACACCACGAAACCAAATTGTCATGCATACCTACTTTAAAAGAAATATTTCTCTAAAGAACTTTAACTCTATATGATTTTAGGCCACAAGCTTCCTCCAAGGCTACTTACTACCTACCTCTTTTGTGAAATAGACAAGAGGATCTACACCATACCTGCTCAAAGATGACTCGTCAACAAGAAGTAGAAGCCTACTCCTCGTGAATGAATATCTAAGTCATTTTGAGAGCAAATCACCTTGATCCTCATTTCCCCCTCTCTATATAAATCTCAAAGAATCTTATTCAGGCCGTCAAAGTAACCAAAATTCTAAAAAGAGAGAAATATTTATTCAGGATATTGAAGAGAAAACCTCGAACAATGTTCAATCTACCACCTTTCAAGAGAGGTATGGTCTTACATTTGAAGATTTTATAATTTTATTTCTTACCTTGTCCAAGACCATGTTGACATGTTACTATATTGAAAGGTGTGAGAAAGAAAAGGAAACTTCTACATGTCATCGACCTCTTCTAAACATGTTGAAATCTCAACAAGTACACTAAATATAGCCAATTTCTGAAGGAAAGGTTTTATTTGCATGAGGTTTGCTTCCTCTATGCTTGTAGAGCCCATTCCAAAAGCCCATAGGTTGACACATAAACAAAGGCGACTAAAAGGTATAGGAGTCCCGAACTTGAGCCTTATTTATTAGTCTTTTCAACATCTCCCTCCTAAAGAATAACAAATATTCTTCCATGATGAAAGGCACTTCGGAAGTTCTTATACCACAGGTTCCCAAAAAATATGATCTATCATTATGTCCCAAAAAACATTCCTTAGATCATATGGACACCACACCACCAAATAAGCCACCTATCAAGCTTATCAAGGATTCAAGATCCAAATTAATACTTACACCCATTAATTCTAAGACTATAAATATAATATCAAGGGTTGCAAAATTGAAAACACTATTAAGGTTAGCGAAATCATTATCCTCTTCAAAAGAAATAAAATAGTATAGACTGCAAATTGCAAGTAAGCAAGAGTTATTAAAAATAATCAGTGTACTGGTTTTTTATCCATAAAAAGAAGAAAAATTAATAATGATAGCAATAATAAAATAAAAGTAGTCAGCTAACATATAATAACTACGACAATCCATGATTTATAAAGACTAATCATGGCAAACTATAGTGTTACTGGCCATACCTTCAAAGTTATCTTATTTGCATACTTAGGGAGGTTCCCCACTACACCACTGTTCAATAGGGAGTCCAAATCATCCTCATTTGATGAATGCTTTCTTCTCATCTTTCCCCTCTTTGTTGTCATCTTCAGATCTCCGGTTCGAAACTCCTCATCTCCTTGGGCATGTACTTTTTCACGTTTCATTTGGCTTAATGAACCACCTCCGCCTGTAAATTACAAAAATTGAGTGAGATGCATTAGAAGCATTTGCTAAAATTAGCTTCCCAAGTCATCAAGCCCCGCAAAGAACAGCCATATTTACTCGAGGAAACTTCTAAAGAATCAAACAAATGGTCAGAACCCACCTCTGGGGAAGTCCGGAACATCATCTTCAATCTGCAACGACATGGCTTCGGTTCTAGCTATATCATTCGGTTTTTTCTTTGATTTGAATGCCTTCTTGGAATGCTTATTGAACTTTGGGCCATCCAGTGATTTTTTTGAAGGTGGCGCCATCTTCACGACACGACCTCAATGAGCTGAAACCAAAAAATTTCCAAAGGGTTAAAATTTCCAATTAAACAGCTAAAATCGAATCTAAAAGGCGTTTAAACGAGCAGACCCTTACCGAAACAACTCGGGTTTTTGCTGGGTCAGTGCAGAACTTCGTCAAAGGAAGAAATCAGTATCGTCGCGCCACCGCAGGTTCGAGTCTCACCGCACCGTTCGTGGAGGAATCGCCTGAAAGACCCACGCCGTCGAGGGGAGGAGTCGCCGCCGGAGAAGAAGAGAGGCTGGCGGCGGCCGAAACGAGGAGAAGAGTAAAAACAGAGCAGAAGCTCGAAGAGTGTGAGAATGGGGAGGGCTTATGAGAGGTTTAAAGAGGGTTTTATAAAAAATGCTTCGTTTAGGCCGGTCTATATGGTTTTGGCCAAACCGAACCGTTCATTTCGGTTTTTTCTTTTGGAAAATATTGATTTCTAGCATCAATGTTTTTCTTTTCAAACCTTTGTATTGCAGGAAAAAAGGCAGACTTGACTTTTACCTCTCTTTTGAAAATTTAAGTTTTCTCATCTTTACGGGCTGGAAGAGACGGGAACGCATGGATCATTCCGGCCTGGGTGTGCAATGCTGCGATTTCTCTAGAGTGTTGGGAAAGCAGACTGGATCTGAGATAATCATTTTAGGAGATCAATATTTGAAAAAGCAGAGGGGAGATGATTATAATACACTAATAGATGTACCCATAGAAGAGGTGGACCATGAGGAACATTCACGAGAGGCGATGGCTGGTTCCCAGCCCCGCGAGCATTATGAGTCTCATATTTTGGAATGTTCAAGGGGTGGGGTCCTCGAGAACATTCCAAAGCCTGACCCAATTGGTCCATGACAGAAAACCCCTCATTCTCTTCCTTTCTGAAACTTTAACTTCAAAGGCCCGTATGGAGAGCAGTAGGTGGAGACTCCAATTTGCTTATGGCTTCTGTGTGGAGTGTCAAGGAAGGAGCGGTGGTTTAGCACTATTTTGGCAAGATACCGTGTCGTCCAGTTTAATTTCCTTTTCTCCCCACCATATTGATGGGTGGGTGGATGTTGACGCTAAAAGGTGGAGAGTTACGGGTTTCTACAGAAGCCCAAATGTTAAACAAAAGACTCAAGTCTGGACATTGTTGGGTAACATCAAGGTGGGTGATGATACCCCGTGGATCGTGGGAGGGGCTTTCAATGAAATTCTCAGCAGTGCCGAAAAAGAAGGTGGAAATCTGAGACCAAGCTCTCAAATTCGTGATTTCCAAGCGGTGGTGGATGAATGTCGTCTAATGGACCTGGGATTTAGGGGAGATTTTTATACTTGGATCAGAAGGAGACACTCAAAAGAACTAATTTTCGAAAGGCTTGATAGAGTCCTTTGCAACAAAGTTTGGAGAGATCTTTTTCCCTCAGGTACGGTCCATCACATGAATTATAATTTTTCTGATCATAGACCGATTGAATTAATTCTTCAGGGTGAGAGGCGTCATAACCATGTGTGTAGAAATCGACTTTTTCGGTTTGAGGAGGTCTGGCTGGAGTATAATGAATGTGGCCAAACAGTGGTGGAAGCATGGCAGTCTACTTCAGAGGGGATATCTCCTTGTGTTTTGAAAGAAAAAATTGTGTTGTGTGCTAGGGCTCTTTCCAAGTGGGGAAGAAACAAATTTGGAGGTTAAAAAAAAATTTGAAAGTGCTAATGCTGATTTGAATAAGGCCATTGTTCAACTTCATCGATGAGGTAGTATTCAACCTATTATTGAAGCTGAGATTAAGCTGGAAAAAATTCTTAATGAAGAGGAAGTGTTCTGGAAGGTCCCGGGAGAATTGGCTCAAAGCTGGGGATAGGAACACGCGATGGTTTCATAATAAAGCTACTTTCTGAAGGAAGAAGAATGAAATTAAAGGTCTCGAAGATTCCAATGGTATTTGGGATTTCAATGTAGATCACATGGAACGAATGATTGCTGATTATTTTTCTACTCTTTTCTCCTCCTCTTCTCTTAACGATATGGAGGTTGAAAAGGTTTTGGAGGAGTTGAAACCAATAAAGGATGAGAGATGGAATCAACATCTTATGCGACGCTTTAGTCCTGAGGAAATTTTTGTGGCATTTCGGCAGATTGGCCCCCATAAAGCGCCAGGTCCATATGGTTTCTCTAGAGCCTTTTACAGATCCTTTTCGTCCCTGATTGGGGATGATGTTATCCAGTGTTGCTTGGAGGTTTTAAATAATCAAATGTCTCCAGGCCCCCTGAACGAAACCATGATTGTATTGATTCCGAAGGTTGAGCATCCAAGAAAGGTCTCTGTGTTTAGACCCATTTCCCTTTGCAACGTTTGTTATAAGATAATTTTGAAAGCTATTGTTAATCGGAAGAAGGGTGTGCTTGATGTGGTTATATCTCAGAACTAGAGCGCTTTTGTTCCTAGAAGATGTGTGGTTGATAATGTTATTCTGGGTTATGAGTGTGTGCACTCTATTCGAAATAAGAAGTCTAGAAGGATGGGTTGGGCTACTCTGAAACTGGACATGAGCAAGGCTTATGATTGAGTGGAATGACGTTTCTTAGAAGCTATCATGTCTAAAATGGGGTCTGTGCGTGAATGGGTGAATTTGATCATGCGGTGTGTTTGTTCGGTCTCTTTTTCGTTCCTAGTTAATGGTGAGAGAAGAGACCACATTTTCCCCACGCGGGGTCTTAGACAAGGTGATCCCCTATCCCCGTACCTGTTCTTATTATGTGCAAAAGGATTATCATGTTTGCTCCAAGGGGCTGTCCGTAAGAAGAATATTTCTGGATTTTCCCTTTCTAGAGGAGGCCCTTGTATTTCTCACCTCTTCTTTGCGGACGACAACCTTCTCTTCTTTAGAGCAACAAAAAAAGAGGGAACGACTATCAAGGATCTACTTTGCCTTTATGAACGTGTATCGGGACAGACAATTAACTATGATAAATCTGTGATCTCATATAGTTCTAATACACCGATCACCAACAAAATTAGAATTGAAGACATCCTCTCGATTAAGAGGGTGAACTGCCAACAGAAGTATCTGGGCTTGCCAGCCTTTATGCCTCATCGGAAAATGGAGACCCTGAATTTTATCAAGGATAGAGTCTGGTCTCAGCTGCAAGGGTGGAATGTTTGTTCTCGATAGGGGGCAAAGAGGTTCTATTGAAGGCGGTAATTCAAGCCATCCCGTGTTACTCCATGAATTGTTTCAAGATCCCAGCTAGACTGTTTTATGATATCAGTATGAGTATGGCCCGTTTTTGTGGGGTGAGAATTTTGAAGACAGGCGAATTCACTGGGTTAGCTGGGAAACTATGTGTAGGCCCAAATGCTTAGGAGGCATGGGCTTTAAAGACCTTGTCTCGTTCAATAAATCACTTCTTGCCAAACAAGGTTGGCGCTTAATTCGAAATCTCACTTCGTTGTTGGCATTGGCTCTTAAGGGTCGATATTTTAAAAACAAAACCTTTACGGAAGCAACTTTAGGTAATAGCTCGTCTTATATTTGGAGAAGTCTGTTGTAGGGTCGGTCTCTTCTTAAATCAGGTCTTCGGTGGAAGATCGGATCAGGGGATAATATTATGATCTATGGATCAAACTGGATTCCTCGTGATGGTTGTTTGTCAAATCAGTCTCCCCCTCGGCTTCCCCCTACGAGCATGGTTTGGTCCCTTTTGTCTGCAACTGGTGGGTGGAATGAAACTTTTGTGAGAAATACGTTTGATGAAGCTGAGGCAAAATTAATTCTCTCTATTCCAATTGGCAGCCGGAGGAATAGAGATGAAATGATATGACACTATGGGGTTGTTCTCTGTTAAAAGTGGATACTTGGTGGACCAAAACTGCACTATCAATGTTGCCGTCATCCTTGAATGAACATCATAGTACCCTTGTTGTTCGAGCTGATTCAAAAGCATTTGTTCTAAAGAAAGGGAGGGGCAAAGTCCACTCGCTATTAGCTGAGCAGACGAGGGACGAGTGGTAGAAGCCGACAAAGAGTAGTGATAGTGACGGTTCAGTGAAGTCAAGTCTATTAGGGGCTCCCTGACGACAAGTAGTCCCCAATGCAATGTTCCTTGTTAAGACCTTCAATTCTGGTCCGGACCTGCGAAAATTGTGGTGGAATGGCTTGTGGAATTTAAAGATCCCAAACAAGATCAAAATCTTTCTTTAGCGGGCTTGTTTGGATAGGCTCCCTACTGGTGAGAAGCTCGAGCAAAGAGGAGTTTAAGGTGCAAACCACTGCTGTCTGTATGGCCATTTTGGGGAATCTATCCATCACACTTTTTGGTTATGCAAGGTTGCGGGTCGGGTTTGGAAAAACTCCCGGTTTAATCATTTACTTCCCCCTCAAATGAAACCACTGTCCTCAATGCTCTTAGAGATTGCAAGGAACGGTTGAGTTGGGTTGATATGGAAGAGGTGGCTATAATTCTTTGGGTAATCGGAACCTAAGAAATGATTGGTTGTTTAATAAGAGGAGTATTCGGCATCCGAAGGATTTGGCGAGCTGGGCGATTTCTTATGTTGATTTGCATCGGAAGGCTAATCTAAAGTTGGTTGTTACCGCTCAGGATGGGGATCCTCTCCCTATCAGAGATCGTTGGGTTCCTCCGCCGGCTGCCTGTTTCAAAATTAATACGGATGCGGCGATGGACTCTGTTTCTTTATCAGTGGGCCTGGGGGTGATAATTCGTGATAATACGGGGTAGGTTCTACTTTCAGCAGCTAAACATGTTCCTCATATGGTTGACGTCGATCTAGCTGAAATCTCAGCAGCAACGTTTGGGTTACAGCTCGCCCGTGAGGGAGGTACTTCGCCGTGCATACTTGAGATGGACTCGCTCAGTATTTTCAAGCTTTTGAACCAGGATGTGGAGGATGTTTCTGAGGTTGGCCGTATTGCTAGGGAGATTAAAGTTTTGGAATTTTTAGTTCATCAGGCTTCTATCAGTTTCACCAAGAGAAGTGGTAACGAAGTGGCTCATAAGCTTGCTAAGTTGGCTTTATCTGAAGAGGAAGAGACAGTTTGGGTTGAGGATTGGCTTCCAGCTATCTCAGGTCTTCTTTAATCTGAATGTTTAGGTTATCTGTTTTAATTTCGTCTTTTTCTTCTCCTTGTTTCAAAAAAAAAGTTTTCTAATCTTTTCATTACTGTGCAATCACTCTCTCATCATCTGCTTCCTCAAAGTGAGCACTTCAATTTAATTTCATCTCCAACACCAATTTATGTCAATTTTGTTTCTTCTCCAATGACGATTTCGAGTTCTTTTGTGTGACTGAGTACTTTTAGCGGTTCTTCTCCAGCAACA